GTGAGATGCTTGTGGGTCTTTAACACCGCTCTAAAACAAAACAAAACAAAACAAAACACAAAAAAGCACCTGTCTAGATCCTGGTAAATTGCCTTTTTAACAAAGAAAGGAGGCATCAGGCTTAGAGGCTTGGCCCAAAGCAGTAGCTAGCTAAAATGGAACGTTCTTTTCTCAACCCTGAATTTACTTGTTTAGAGTAGATATTTCTACTGTGAACAGCAAGTAATGCTGGCTCCATTTACACTAGTGACAGGAGGCTTCCTTTTCAAAATAGATTGAAGTAAGATGGGAGTTGCTCTAAACAAAAATATTAAGTAAGCCCTCATGTCATTGTTTTGTGCTAACCTTGTGCCAGAAACTGCTCAGTGCTCCCCATGAATTAATACTTAATCGTCTGGCCGGGGTGAAGGGCAGAGGAAGACAGCAGGGCAGAGAGTGTGGACTATGCCCAAGTTCACTGGATAACTGGAGGAGGAGCCTCCTGCAAGAGGGGGGGCATGCTAGAGGACCAAAGCTGGTGACCCAATGAATGCAGACCAGCCCAACTGCCCCGGCTCAGAGACCCCCTCTCTCCCTCCCCTCTCTCCTCCCACCCTCCCCACCTCCACCCACCCAGTCCCAGCACTGGAGGAAGTCACCCTGAAGGCTCAGGCTTTGTTCTGGACAGGTTCATCTTCCCTCTTCCCAGACTCTGGGTCCCTAAAGCCAGATGGTTTCAGCTCTCTCCCTACGCCCAAACCTAAGGGTCTCACACTCACACACACACACACACACACACACACACACACTCTCGCGCTCGCTCTCTCTCTCTCTCTCTCTCTCCTTGCCATTCCCCTTGAAGTGCTCACTCAATCTACTTCTCAGACTTTCTCACCCTGTTCTTTTGAGCCCTGGGCAGCAGCACAAGGAAGGGTAAGCTCTGCTTCTGCCACTGGCCCTATGGGACAGGCCAGAGGCTTCTGACTCCCTCTAGTTTGGGCCCCCAAGTCCTCTGCCACCCCTTACCCACCCCACCCCCCTGCACAGCCCCTCAGGGACCCTATGCGAGGTAACTGGATTTCTCCCCTTGTCAGTTTGCAATGAAAATGTCACGCATTCAGGAATGCGGGGAAGAGGGCTACACCCCTATTCAGTGACTGTCACCCAGAGCTGGAGCACTATGGAGGCCACCCAGCCCAGCAGCTGTGGCCAGAGGCCTCACACCCACCCTGTGCCCTCTGCCCTTGAAGAGCTGATCTGATGGTCACAGGGGTTCCCAGCAGGTAGGGAGGCCTGCACCTGCCCTGAGGTGGCTCCCCTCCTCTCTCTGGCCCTCAGGCACCCTCTGCATAGGCAGGGGCTCAACTACTCCTTAGCTTCCCCAAACTTCGCATCAAACCCACCTGTTTTGCAGGAGGCAGGCTCTGGGCCAGGTCCCTCCGCATGCCTGAGGGAGCCTGTGAGGAAGCTTAGGAATCTGCATCTGCAAAAGGCCCTAGGTGATTCTGATGGACAGCGATAGAGGAATGGTCCAGAATGTGGGCTCTGGGCTCCGCTTGATCCTCGCTCTGCCCTCTTGGCTCACTCGGGGCCCCAGGGCAACTTAGGAAGACCCCACAGTGTACTCTGTGAAATAAAGATGACAGTGGTACAGAACTCTAAGTCACAGAGTTCTGGTGGCAACTGAATGACATCGAGTGCCTGGCACAGTGTCAGGCACACGGCATACTCAGCAAATCCTCCTGTCCTCACGGGGGCCGTGCAGCAAGCCCCTCGGGGCTCCAGCCCACAAGGAAGCAGCTGCCTTCTCTAGCCACTGGGGAGGGGCAACGTTAGTCTTCAGAGCCCAGCATTAGGCCAGCTGGGGGTCCCGGGTACCTGGGGCACTGTGGCCACTCTAGGCCAAAGCCCACGACACAGGCACTGTGGCCCCTCCTTTCCACGCCCCCCTCTCTCAGCCACCACGCGGGGGGGAGCCTGAGGCTCCAAGAGGCAGGAGGGACACAGATCATCACCCCTTCTTAGAGTTGAGGAATGAGGCTCTCAAGAGGCTAAATGAACCATCCGAGGTCAAAGACCCACCAAGCAGAGCAGGGCCTGCACACAGACGGGGGCCCAGCTGGCCAGGGTGGGGTCGCCTTCCCTGCCCACAAGGACAGGCATCCAAGGGCAAAGGCTCTGACCATCACCTCAAGGCTTTTTCCTCAACTCCCAGAGCCAGAGGCCCCAGTCAGGGACCTCTGACAAAGGGTTGGGTTCCGGTCCTAGTCCCAGAGAGATGGGAGCTGATGGAGGGCTCCTTAGGGGAAGCTGGCAAAACTGGAGCTGCCATTTTGCCCCATCTCAGGCTTGGTATCTCTGTGGGAAGATGGAAACGTGGCTTCCACCTGCAGGCTAGCTAGATGGTTGGGTGAGGTAGGGTTTGGAGAGAGAAGGCCTTGGAACTTTTGGAAGGAGGGCCTGGGAGACTGGGTATCTGAGAGATGGAGTGGGAACAGGCAGCCAGACCCACGTGGCTCACTCAACAGGTAGCCCCGACCAGGGAGTTAAAATCACTCCCTGGGGGTGGGGGAGGGCTCCCCCTTCCAGCCCCACAGAGGCGGCAAAGGCCTGGTGAGATCCAGGCTGTGGCTCACACGGTGTGGGGGGCGGCTCTCCCCAAGGCAGCCAGGCCGAAAATCCAACCTGACACGGAGACACAGGGCTTCAAGGATTATCCCTGGAGATTAACAGAAACCTTCCCTGAAATCTGCCCTCAAAGCAGCCCAGTCTGGGGGGTCCTGTCACACAGCAGGCAGGGGGTGGGGGTGGGGGCAGAGGAAGAAGGGCCCACCCTCCTCAGACGGGGGACTAGGACCAGGGTGCGCACCAGCCAGGGCTCAGCAGGCTCTGCATCTGGCCCCTGGGAGCAACAAGCCTCTACTTGCTCAGAACCTGTTGGCTCAGGAAGCCTGGGTGGCTCAGCGGTTGGGCGTCTGCCTTTGGCTCCAGGGTGTGATCCTAGATTCCCAGGATCGAGTCCTGTATTGGGCTCCTTGTGTGGAGCATGTGTCTCTGCCTCTCTTTCTGTGTCTCTCATGAATGAATAAATAAAATCTTAAATTAAAAAAAAAAAAGAACCTTTTGGTTCTGAGATTTCTCAGTGTGTGTTGTGCACAGTTGTGAAAGCCTCACCGAAGGCCATCCAGGCAGGGGGCCGGCCAAAGGCCCCCAGACACGTACTTCTACAAGGGCTGCACAACCCAAGGGGCACCTGCCCTCTGCCTGGGGGCCCCAGGATTTCAGACCCAGGACTTTAAGAAAGGAAGCTGAGCAACAGTTAGCAAAGTCTGCCCAGAGCCCAGGGAGCACAACGGGGAAGAAGGCAGGGTCGAGAGAGAGGTGAGCTCCCAATTCTAAGAGGGCAAGGGCGGCTCTGTGGGGTCCGTTCTGTGTGTGTTGGGCAAGAAACAGCACTTCTTTCTCAAACAATTCACTTCACCCCCTTCCCTTAGGCTGGCTAGGAACTCTCGAGGGGCCTCTGCCCAGGGCAGGTGTGGCCACTGCTGCCCCAGCTCCTCCCACCTCGCAGGGCCTGCCCCCACCCAGTCTCCTGGTCAGGGGCCTGGAGGAAAACCCTGGTCTCCCCTGCCTAAAGGACCTTCAGTTCTCCTCAGAAGGCTCAGGCGGTGGGAAAGGGAACTACATTCTGGAAGAAAGACAGTTCTCAGAGCTGAATTTGTGAACTCAGATTCACACCCCTTAAAGGAACTTTGTATTTTGGGGGTTCACTTAAGATTTATTTCCTCAGAATCCCACAGCTTTGCAAAGGAAAAAGAAAGGGAAAGGCCGGCCCCAGAGGGACGAGCTGGGAGGGGAGTTTGAGGGAAGGGGGAATGCCTACAGGGTCAGGCTAGAGCCACAGGACGTGGGGGCTGGGCAGGGACACCAGGCACACGCGGGCACCACCTCCCCTTGCCCAGGAGCAGAGCCTTTCGTTTCCCTCCTTTCCCTGTCTGCGACGCCCCCGAGGGCCCAGCACCCTCCTCTCCATATGCCCATCATGAAGGGAAACCATGTTGCAACAGCTGCTGAAAAATCAAGACACAGGAAACACGGAGAAAGGGTCCTGTTCCAGCACCACAAGGCTCCTTCGGGAATGTCTGTGATAAAGGCCAGCAGCCTCTCCAAGGGCAGCACCCCCCCACCCACCCCCACCTCCCGCCCCAGCACGAGCATGGGGGGGAGGGGTATGTAGGGGCGGGGAGAGTCCCTCCGGGCAGCACAGCAGGCTCTCAGGAGGGGGGACGGAATCCATCTCGATCTCAAACTCCTCCCATCCTCCCCACACACACCCCAAGATGGTTTGCTCCATGAGCCCTGGCCTTTAAGAAGCACCCCCCAAACCTGCCTTCCTCCCCAACCCCGAAGAATCCTGAAAGGAGGGTGAACACTCTGGTCCCCAGAAGAGGGAAGCCCTCAGGCTCCCCCGACCTCCCTCTGACCACTGTGGGCCATGAGCCCTCAGTCACCCAGTGCCACCCCCACCCACCAGCAGGACCTCCACACATTCCCAGGGCTTACCAGTCACAACTCCAGGCCTCTACTCACCCTTACCCCACTCGCACAGTCATCAGTGCCAAGACCTCCTGCCTTTTAAGGAGAGTGAGGCATAGCAGGGAGGCTGAGCAGTGATGGACCCTCAGAGCCCCTGGGCAAGGGAGCCCTGCACCCCCGCTGTCTGGACCCCACAGCCTCATGGGCCATTCTGGCCAGAGGACCCCCCACCTCCCCACAGGGTGACATCTCAGAGCCAGCCAGAAGTCATCCAAGCATCCGACAAGGGGCCCACATCATCCAGGCTTTACCTGGACCCCCTCCAGGCTCCCAGGGCCTATCAAGAAAAGCTTAGAAACCCCCAACCCCCCTCCCAGGGTCAAATGCTCACCTCTACCTCCATCCCAATCACTCCCAACCACCTTCCGCGTGTCTTCCAGATGTACGTGCAGCTGTACAATTACCTAGGAATGTCTTCGCATGGATTCATTTTTAGTTAAATTTATTTATTGAAAATGCCACCACAATAAGTAGATGCCAGTACAACTTGTCATAAATAAAAGGTAGCCAATTAAAAATATACCATTAAAACAAAACAGAGCTATAAAAGTCTGGAAACTTTTCCCAACAGCCTTAAGCCCAAACCCTTCTCCCTAGTAACGGGAAGTTTCAGAGGCATGAAAACATATTGGCACCTAGCTGAGGATTTCTTCTTGGCATAAAAGGATTGGAAAAGAATTGGAAAGGGAATTCCTTTCTTGCTCTGACTTTGTGCTTAATGCAGACCCAATACTACCTAAGAACATCTCAAGGGAATGAGGGTATGCACCCAATACTTTGGGAATGCAAGACTAGAGGCTTCCTCTGCCTCATGCTTAACGCAACGTGAAACACGTTCTATGAGCACGCCTTCAAGGCACAACAGACCCCTCCCCATGTGCCTGTTCTCACACCAAGGCCCCAAAACTCCCTCTCCCACGTGTCTGCCCCCCTAGCTCCTAGAGGTCATCGCTGACTCAGGTGGGACACCAGGTAGACGAGGCCCACCAGCAGGAGTCCACGCACCCCGAGCATCATGAGCAGGAAGAGGAGCAGGATGGAGGTCACCGGCTCCACAGCATGGTTGCCGAGATGCCACTGGGGGAAGCCCATGTTCACCAGCTGCCGGTTGAGGTCATTGAAGGGGGACGGAGCAGCACCCAGCCTAGCACCCGCCTGCTGCTGGCGAGGGCCGGATCCCCCAGGGGGGCACCGTGGCCCCTATTGAGAAAGCTCTGGAAGGTGAACACACAGAGAGATGAATCAATCTAAAGAAAGCATCGCTGGAGTTGAAGTACCAGACAATGAGAGAATCTTCTGGGCTGAGCCGGGCCCCGCCCTCCCCACCAGCACCACTCCCTCCCCCCAGGGCCACACCTTCCTTTCCCAGCCATCCCTGGACGCCACCAGCAGGGATCCCAACCACTGAGTCACAAAAGCTCTCAGTACAGAAAATGCCAGGCTATATTCCCCATGTCCTGCCAGGGGGAAGGTGCCCAGGTCAGAGAAGAGAGGAAGGGAGCAAGGAGGGCTGAACAATAGGGCAGAGCCTTCGAAGCAGGCATTTCTAATACTCCGGGCTCCTTCCTTGAACACCATCACTGTGTGGCCATGGGCTTGTCTTCTCCACCTTCTCCAGCTCTCTCTCAGCCAACAGACTCTTAAAAGATAAACTATGCTGGCTCTAGCAGGGTCAGCCAGGTCAGAGGAAAGAGCTCCTGGAGTCCCAGTCTGGGAAGGCAGCCTGCAAGAGTGAGAACTTGGGGCGGGGGGAGGAGGGCCAGGAGGCTTCTAGTGCAGATTGGAAGAAACCTGCAATCGTCCCCAAGGCTTGACTCTCATGCTCCTTAGCCTGGCTCTCTGCAAAGAGGGCTTCTGGCAAGAGCTGCTGGCTGCTAAGGAGTTCCGGGCACAGAGGGCAACAGGCCAGCCGCTCCCCTGCCATGGGCGCTGGGAGCCTACCTGTCGAGGGGTGCTACTGCGTGACGGGAGGGTGTTCCTCACACGGGGGTCGTCATCCTGCACGATTTCCCCATTGGCCAAGATCCGCACCATCCTCCCAGGAGCTATGGGTCCCTGCTGGGCTGCGTCTTTCCCCAGGCCTCAAAAACCTGAAAGACACAATTTATCAGACAGAAAGAGATGCTTGCCTTCAGTGGGAATAACTGCAATTCTGGGTGCTCACACTGGCTGCCCGAGCTGAGCAGGTGCTGCGTCTGATTCATTACAAGGAGAGAAATAAATGCAAGTTATCTGACAGACGAAAATCTTTCAGATACTGAGTCCTCTGCGAAAACTACCAAAAGGGTCCTTGGAGATGGAAGTTCTGTTACCACCACTGCCAGCCACCACAGGGACAGGGGCCTGTGCTGTGGCCCCGGCCCTGTGGAAAGCCCACGGAGGCCCATCTCACTCCCTCCTCCCAACACTCTTCGAAGCTGCAGCCGGTTAAAGACCCAGAGAGGTCTAAGTGGCCTGCCCAGGGCCACTCATCTATAGGCAACAGGGCCAGAAACCGAAGCCAGGCATCCTGGCCCGAGGCCCTTCTCCGGGCTCTAAGGAGGGACCAGGGCACGGAGATCCCCAGTGTCTCCATTTCTCATCTGTTATAAAAGCGCCCATTGGGAGGGAGTAAATGCCAAGGACCTGGGCCTTCTCCCGGAGAGGACCTGCGCCCACTTCAGGGCTACTTTGGGTCCCCTGCCTGGCTGCAGAGCACACGGATGGCCACCCAGCAGCTGGCAGTGGGTGGAGGAGCAGACCCTTCCTGCAGAGGGCCCGCCCCTCACCTGCCCCTCACCTGCCGGACACCAGTCCCTCCCTTGCTCCGGGGAGCCCGGCGGAGGTGGGGGGCGGGGAGGCTGCTCAAATTATGGGATGGGGGACGCTGCTGTGGCCCTGGGAGGGCCCACTCCGCACACCCCAAGGGTGTCCGTCCTGCAGGTGGGGGTGGGGTCCTTCCACGGCTCTCCGGGAGTCTGTAAAAACCTTTTTTCCCCCCCTTCGGAGATGAGCCGCAGTTTTCACCTCGATCCCAAAAAGCACTTGTGATGCACACGCCAGAAGGGGCGAAGGGCCCCTGTTCTGTCGCCCTTGGCCTAGAGCCCGGGGCAGGCAGGTCCCAGCTGCTGGGGCAGCAGAAGGCCGAGCAGCTCACGGAGCCCTGCGGCCCCTTGGCGCTTCGTCCCCCGCGCCCGCCGGGTGGGTGCCCGGGGCACCTGACTCGGGAGGGCGGCTGCAGGGGGGCTGCTGCGGGGGAGGGGCCGCCGCCCCGCGGCCGGCCCCGCCCGGGGGAGGGGAGGGATGCGCCCGGCTCGCCCTCGCCCTCGCCCTCGCCGTCGCCCTCGCCGTCGCCCTCGCCCTCGCCCCGGGTCGGACACCCACCTGCGGGCGCGGCTGCGGGGCTGGCGGCGTCCGCTCCCGGCTCCCGGCCGCTTCCTCCCACCTGACCTCACAGGAAGCGCCGCCGCCCGGAGCGGCCCCCTCTGCAGGCCGCCGGGGGAACTGCAGCGGCCGGCCCGGGCCCGGGGGCGGGGGGCGCGGGGGAAGAGGACGGGGAGAGAGGAAGAGCGGAGCGAGCGGGACGGAAGGAGGAGGGAGAGGAAGAGGAGGAAAAGAGGGGAGTGGAGCCCACGGAGGGCAAACCAGAAGGTCAGAGACCCTGTGTCCTGAGTGGAAAGACCGCACAGGTTCAACCCACCGAGGAGAGCTTGCTGAGGGGGGTGCCTCTTGAGCAGGACCCAAGCTGCCCTCCAGCAGCTCCAGCTCCCTTGGGGAAGAGGAGGCATGAGGCACGAGGCAGGTGCAAACAACTGTAGCTGGAAGGAAGGCAGGCTTCCCGGAGGAGGCAGTCTTTGAGCTGGGGCCAGAAGGGCAGCTTCTAGGATAAATAGGGAAGGGTGCCCCCTGTCAAGGGAGTGAGCAAGCAGCCTTGCCTCTTTCCTGTTTTCATATCCCCACCCTCCTGCCGACTTGCATAAACTGTTCCCCAGTGGGCCCGTTCACCAATGGGAGAGAATGAGCTCTGTGGTCCCACAGTCTGGGTTTCAGAGTCTGGTGAGTTACTGGGCTTCTCAAGCCTCCTCATTTGCAAAATGGTGATAATCATACTTCACAGGACCGTTGCAAAGATTAAGAAGGAGAGCTGTTGGCACATGGCAAGTGTTGATAAACATTATTTATGATTATCGGTCAGTAGATGTTTCTTGGAGTAAGGCAGATATTTGGGCCTATGGTAGGACCCAGATGCCCACGGGCCCCTGGTGAGGGAAACAGGAAGAAGAGTGAGATTTAGGCCTTGCCTTAAGGGCTCATCATCCGCTATCAAGGGTTGAATTCTTTGATTATGAAACCTTACTTCAATCTAAGTGTTCCATGTAATAATAATAACCCCTATGTGCACAGAGTCCCTATATTTCCAAGGTGCTCTTCCAGAGACCACATCATTCTCTTTTGGATCATGACATAGGAAGCATAGGTGTCATTGTTCTCTTTGGCTGATAAGAAACTGAGACTCACACGCTAGATGGTCAGCCAGCTCACACGCTAGATGGTCAGCCAGCTCGAGGTCAGTGGCAGAGCCAGGATTCAAAGGGACCCAGATCCCGCCCCCACCTCCCACCCCCACCCCAGGCTTGTCCTTCTCTGCTGCCTCTTTATTTTGTGTTTCTAACACCCAATGTCATGAGCATGAGAGTGGGCCCCTGGTCATGCCTTATTCCCAGTAGGAATGCCTACCCCAGTAGGTGCCCAGTAAAAGTGTGCAACTGTGGTTGCACAGTTACTCTTACCAGTAAAAAATGTTGAGCAGGTCCCACTGATAGCTGTATCTCATTTGTGTATTATTTATTGGCTGTTAATAAAAGGTGGTGGCTAGAGCCAGTCTGGCTTGAATCCTGGCACAGCAGCTTTCTAGTGGTGCGATGGGCCAGTTATTCAACCTTTCTGTAAAGTGAGGATGGTAACAATACCTTCATCATCAGGTTTTTGTGGAGCACTGAGTAGTTTGGGTACAGTGCTTCCTTAGATGAGAGCCTGGCCACAGAAGTGCTGGGGGCTGCTGATCAACAACTACAGTAAGTCAGTTGTAAAGCATGTTCTCTAAATAAGAATAGGATTTCAGATAGGCATAAAACTGAAATCCTAATCCTTTCTTCCTGCACTCCGGAGCAGGGCTTCATGTGCATATGTGGAAGGGAATCCCAGGGCAGGATTCCTGATTGTCAGAGGTGGTCTGTGATTCTCAAAACAGGCTGCATGTTGGAATTATCTGGGGTGTTTAAAAACAATCCCGATGCCTGAGTCCCATCCCAGGGTGGACTGATGGAGGGGGGTATGGAGATGTTTAAAAAAAAATAGATTCTAGGTGATTCTAATGAACAGCCCAAGCTGAGAACCACTGTTCTATGAATAGAGCCCTACAAGTGGGGTTCACAACTCAAGATCCCCAAGGAGGGAGAGATCTTAGCAGGCTGGGGGAACTGGTAAGGGAATGAGGGATTAGTCCAGGAAGTCTTGAGCTGGTGCAACTGCTGCCAAGGAGACACAAGTCTAGCCAGAGATAACCGTGAGAGCCCAGAGGAGTATGTCTCTCTTGAGGTCAAGAACAACTTTAGGAGGCAGTAATGTTTGACCAGACCTGGAAAAGACCTATCAGTGCCAATTAAAACAGCCTCAAGAGGCTGCGACTCACTTTTCCAACCTCTCCACTTCCTTCAGATGTCTTCGCTGCTCAAGAACCTGCAATGACTCCCTATTGTCTGCTCCAACAAGACCTAACTCGCGAGTGTGCCCATAATCATGGGATCCACTGGTTACATCACGTATGACACCAGCAAGAAGCTACTGGTCTAAAAGAACGTTAGAATGGCACACTGAAGGCACAGCCAAATGCCACTCGGAGACAGTACTAAGCAAGAATGGTGTGCCATCCTCATGGGATGCATTCTATACCTTGAATCAAAGGCCTGTACAGGCTGTTGTGTCTCCAGTTGGAAAATACTTGAATTCAGGAACTCAGGTGTGGAAGCAGCAGTGGCCCTGCTTATTGTCATGCCCAATGACCCTCTTGGGGAATTTGTGCCTTCCATCCCCACAACTCTAGGCTCTGCAAAGTTAGAAGTCTTGCACCCCAGAGGGGGAACACCAGTGTCAGAGAACACAAGAGTCTCATTGAACTATAAGCTAAGGGTGCAGCCTGAGTACTTTGGGTTCTTGTTTCTGGGAATTAGCAGGCAAGAGAAGAAGTCATTGTCTTGGCAGGAGTAATTGGTCCCTATCACTGGGAGAGGGTAGGGTTGCTCTTACACAATGGGGACAGGATAACCGTGTTTGGTGCTCATATGGTCCACTTGGATGCCTCTTGATTGTCCTTTACCCAGAGTGTAGCGGTAAAGGACAATGCAATAGCTCTGTCCCCAAAAGGCCATGTGACCAGAAGCTCAGGGCCCCCCAGGGATGAGGGTTTAGGTCGTGCTTCCAGGTGAGTCACTGAGACCAATAGAGGGGCCAGCTGAGGGGTAGTGGAGGAGAGAGATGATAATCAATTGCAGCTACAATGGCGGGGACTGTAGTTTGTCCCACTAATATTTCTCAGGAAGAGCCTTCCATCAGAATCCTGAGAAAGTAGATCTGAGCCTGTAAAGGGTGAGCTCTGGATGTGCTGTGCAGAGCCCCCTCCAGGGAAGGAGTTGTTGCTCTAAGTTCTGGAAGAGCATCAGTGGAACCTTCAGCTGTCAGCCCCTCCACACAGGTTGCTCTGCTGCAGAGACACTTCACCCAAGGTCAAGCCCTTTCACAGGCTGCCCACATGCAATGACAGAAGGACACAGGAGATACGCACCAGCTGTGGCAACTCCAGAGACCCTCTTGAGGTTGACTGAGGTTGTCAGGTTTTTACCATAAATAACTTAGTTTCCCCCTCTGCTCAACCCTGTTTGTTCTGTCTCCCTAATAAATCTACTGAACTCTATTTTTTTTTTATTTTATGATAGTCACACAGAGAGAGAGAGAGAGGCAGAGACACAGGCAGAGGGAGAAGCAGGCCCCATGCACCAGGAGCCCGACGTGGGATTCGATCCGGGGTCTCCAGGATCACGCCCCAGGCCAAAGGCAGGCGCCAAACCGCTGCGCCACCCAGGGATCCCAATCTACTGAACTCTAAATGCTGTTTCAGGGTTCCTGGAGAACCCAAAATGGAACAACTCCCCGTTCTGCTGGAGTGGGAGAAAAACTAATCTCATTTACTGTGAAAAAGCCACTACCCCTGACATAGCAGGCATGGCCAAATGTCCTTCAGGTTCATAGACCCCTTTTGCCTTTTAATTATTGAATCCTCCCCTTCACCAAAGTTTGACAGGTAACTAGACATCCATCTAGCAGCTAGAAAATCCAAAATAAGTGATCAGAATTAAGAAGACATTTTAGTAAGATTATTGTCTATAAATCAGTTGTACTCCTAAATACAAGCGGCAGAATTAGAGAATTGAATTACAAAAATAATACTAAATGAAGTATGGCTTAAAAATATAAAGCCCCTAGGATTAATCTAACAAAAGATGTACAGGGGTCCTCTATTCTGTTTCATTGATCTATGTGTTTATCCTTCCGCTAAGGATAGAGAGTCTTGATCATGAGCCTTGATCATGACTCTTGATCACAGAGTCTCGATGTAGCTATATCCTAATTCTAGAAATCGGATAAGAATGATTCTTCCCTGTTTATTCTTCTTCCTCAAAATTATTTCAGTTTTTGTAGTTCCTTTGTCTTTCCATGTAAAATTTAGAATAATCTTGTCTGTATCTACAAAACATCTTACTGAGATTTTGATAGGAATTGTGTTGAACATGTACATCAGTGTGGGGGAAATTGGCATCTTTACTCTGTGGAATCCCCCAGTCTGTATACAGTTTGTCCCTCTGCTTATTTAGATCTTTTTCTGTTTCTTCCATCAACACTGTGTAGTTTTCAGCATATAAATTCTATACATGTTTCACTAGATTTACACCTAAGCATTTCATTTTTAAATGATTGCAAATGATAATCTATTTTAGATTTCACTGTCCATATGTTGATTGCTAGTACATTAAAAATACAATTAATTATTGTATGTTTGTCTTATATTCTATGACCTAGCTGAACTTATTCATTTTCACTAGGTGTTTTGGTAGATTTATTGGAATTTTCTACATAAACAGTCATGTCATCTGCAAATAGAAACCATTTTATTTCTTCCTTTCCAATCTTTATGTCTTTTATTTCCTTTTCTTGACTTAATGCAGTGGCTAGAACTTCCAATGCTACATTGAATGAAAATGGTGAAAGTAGACATCCTTACTTGTTCCTAAACTTTAGGAAAAAATCATCATTTTTCACCATGAAATATGTTAGCTGTAGAATTATATATATATATATATATATATATATATATATATATATATG